AAAAAAACATTTCTCAGGACTTCAGTTAAAAAAATAAAAAAAACTGAGTTCATTTGGAGGTAATTTATTTTAGATTACTCTCTGCTTGTCCAGCATCATTTTCTCTGACCTTGGAATTGTCTGGGGTCTTATTCAATCAGATTCAGTAACTAACTGGCTAGAGTGCTTCAGTACTGGCATAACCCAGAGGCTTGTTCATAATGCCCACAATGTCTTTACATTTATAGACAGCTAATTCTTTTACATTGTCTGTGCTTACACTCTCTGTCTTCACTAAAATTAACAGCTGTTATCATGTGTGTAGACCCAGGTTTTCTAAATCTAGCTCTGAACTAACACAGGGGGTGTGGCATGGCGCCAGATGATAAACATGACACGTCTAGAGTCATTTGTCTTACACAAAGAACAAACTAATCCTAAGCCACTATAGTCGTTATTAAAGTAATTTTTATCTTGTCTTATTTAGCCTTATCTATCAACCCATACATTTTTTTCAAGGCTGAATTTATAACATGGAAAAATATAGAGCAGTGCAAGAGACATGGTGCAGCCTTTCATGTGTTGCCCATTAACAGCCAGTACACTACTATATGTCTCTGTGTACCAGCTAGCTGGAATAAGTAGTAGTTCTCAGTATTGACTGATAGATATTAGTAATGACTAAATGTAATGGCCAAAAGCCACATTACTCATCAATGTCTTGCCTTAATTTAGTTGTGTATAGGGAACACTTACAGCAACCTTAAGTGTTGGAGCACCTGGCTCCCAGAAAAAAAATTCAAAGGTCACGACCTTATTGTCTCAATAGCTGCTGCCTTGTTCCTGTAGCCAACAGTTGATCACAGTATTTAAAACTTTACTGAACTGAAAAACAATCATCATCTCACTATAAGGAATATTAATGTCAGCTTCAACATAAGGACTCACAAATGTCAGCAAATTCCTGAAAGGACATTGATGAAACTGTCAGTATGGATGTGAGGGGTGCACAAAGGAATGGTAGAACTTGAGGGAAAAGTATGTTGGCCCCCAAAAACAACAAAGAGTAGGGACCCAGGAGGGAATAGGGAATATAAAACACAGGGACATGACCACAAGGTAATTGACACATAATGCACCAAGCACAAACATAAATGGCAGCAGCAACGCTGGGGACTTACATATTACATTGTAGGCTCTACAAGCATTCACTGCAGAAGTTTAAATCAGCCATTAGCTTGAAATAGCAGCACTGAGGCATTATTGAGTCATGTCTTTATAATGCATCATTTGGATGTAAAGGCATGGTTAGGAAAAGGTGTTAGACTTTAAATTCCCAAATGTGAGGTCAGCATAAAAAAGACAAAATATTGAGTTAATTAATCACAAAACTCCTAATCTGGAATAACTGGTTCATACTGGTGTGCACATTTCTGTAGATCCTGAGTTCTATGGTGGGATAAATTCAAGACAGTTTGATTTAACAGGTTTTATCGAACTGTTAATCGTACATCATAATTAAAAAAGCATTTTCTCATATTTTCACAGGGGGTTTCCGCACTTTTGTGGATGTAGTTTCAGCGAGGACGGCAGTGGGCCACGATGCAGAGGGAAGGTTAATCCTGTTTCATTTTGATGGACAGACAAACGCACGAGGGTAAGAAAAGGAAAGGTGATCAACAATGTTTACAATGCTGTTTTCTTTTTAAGAAATTTGAAGCAAGAAGTAGTGATGAAATTGAAACAATTTGTTTTTACCGTATTTTCACGACCATAAGGCGCACTGTGCTAAAAGGCGTAGTCTCAGTTATGTGTGCCCTTACTGTATTTAACACACCCATAAGGCGCACTGGACCATAGGGCGCATACAAGTACCGTATGCGTATTTAAAAATAAAGCGGGAGCAAACCTGAATTCGGTACTCACATTTTTATCATCAATCAAACCCATCGAAGTCCTCATCCTCTGTGTCTGAATTGAACAGCTGCGCTAAATCTCCATCAAACATGCCAGGTTCACTGTCTTCACTGTCAGAGTCACTTTCCGTGCCGTGCGGCTCCTCGGAAACGATGCCGGCTTTTGCGAAAGCTCGAACAACAGTGCCAGCAGACATGTTAGCCCAAGCATCTACAATCCATTGGCAAATTGTGGCGTAACTCGCCCGGCGCTGCCTTCCACTCTTAGTGAAACTGCGTGGAAAAAACCACCTGGTCTCCTTACATACACCTCCCTCAGCCAGTCTTTCATCATTTCCTCATCCATCCAGCCCTTTTCATTTGCCTTAATGATGATTTCTGCTGGAAACTTCTCTTTAGGCAAAGTCTTTCGCTTAAAAATCACCATAGGCGGCAGTTTCTGTCCATTAGCATGGCAGCCAAGCACAACAGTAAAAGAAGACTTTTCATACCCCGTTGTGCGTATCGCTACCGTGCTGGTCCCCTTCTTCTCCACAGTGTGACTCACCGGGATGTCAAAAGTGAGCGGGACCTCGTCCATGTTTGTGATGTGGCTGGGCTGGATGTTTTTGTCGCCGATGTGTTTGCTGCAGTAGGAGCGGAAGATGGCCAGCTTTTCCTTATAATCCGCTGGAAGTTGCTGCGCTACCGTAGTCCTGGTCTGGATGGAAAAATGGCACCGTTTCATAAAACGAAAGCACCAAGACGGACCTCCTTGGAAATGTTCATTTCTTCAGCTAGTGAAACTGCTTTTAGCCGAATGGTGACCGTCGAAACGCTTCTCCCGCTCGCTCTTTGCTCGATGATCCACCGCTCGAGTCTTTCCTCCAACTCGGGCCACCTCGCCTTATGTCCGCGGAAACTCAGCTGCGTTTTCTTGACCTGCCGGAGCTTGTTTTCCAGCTTCCTCCATTTGCGAACCATCGATTCGTTAATCTTAAATTCTCTCGCCGCTGCTCGATTTCCATGTTCCTCCGCGTAGCTGATGGCCTTCAGTTTTAACTGTGCTTCGTAAGCGTGTCTCTTTGCCATTTTCAGGGTTGTTAAAACAACGATGTCCTGCATAATGCACATACCTGTTCTTTTATACAGGTATGTGCGATTGTCCCGGTATATACGATCAACGCCCACACTTCACCCTTTAACGTTCTCATGGTGTTCTCTACTACGTCCTCCTTACAACACAGGGCGCACCGCACTATAGGGCGCGCCGCACTTTTTGAAGAAAATCTAAGACTTTTAAGTGCGCCTTATGGTCGTGAAAATACGGTAAATTTACCACACAGTGAGTGGGAAGCTATCTACTCCAACCATTAGAAAAGAAACGGCAAACACGGGTGTAAATGTAAGAAAAGAGTCAATTTATCCTGTTAGTTTGAAGTGATTCACTGGTTTTTGAGTCAACACAGGATGTCCCAAGTGGGAATTTATTATCCAGGAACCAATTTCACACACAGTGAAGAGAAAAACAACCTCCATGTACGTTGGAATGTCTCCAGTTTACTTCAGCTCATTGAAAGACTTGATATGACCATGAAAATGACATGTTGACTGTTTGCATATTTTCCACCTGCTGGTTTTCTAAAGATGTTTAAAACCTTGAAAAAAGTCAATCTTTAAAATTTGTTTTATACCAACACCAAACTTAATCCATCAGTGTTTATCTTTTGTTGATCTTGTGACACAAGCATCTACAGCCTAACACTGGCAGCTTCCTTGTTGTGGTCAGGAAATATCAGAGAATAAGTAAGACAAATGACCTAACGACCGTCTAACAAAGACATTTTGGCTGATCTGGGCTCAGTGAGCAGCCCTAAGACCCTCTCAAACTTTTCACAACAGGTACTGGTTTGGCTGTAAGGTATTGCAAACATTTTGCAGCAACATCCTACTAATCAGTTTTTATTTTCTGATGACTTTCTTTTTTTAAACCATAAAAACAATGAGAACAATGGAGGGAATTATTGTCACAACACTAGGGTACAGCACCGGGTTTTATAAATGTAGGCAAGGTTGCTGCATTGTTGTTTTGTTGTCAGTCAGTAAAACTTCACACTGTTAATGGCGAGGTTGAAGAGGTGAAGACTTCTGGCCGTCAAGGACAAAAGGTTCAGAAATGGCCAATCAGCTTTGAGCAGAAACAGCCAAGTTAGCACTGAACAGCAGTTTCCAGAGCCTACAAACGATTAGATCTGCTTTTGCCTCCCCCAGGAAAAAAAACAAAAGAAAGAAGACCCTCAGGGATGGCTCCTGAACTCGTAGCGCACACAAAACCCCCACAGGTATTTTGGTGGGAAAAGGCTTAAGAAGACACATCACAAATGTAAACAGATGCTCAAGCGTAAACACACAAAACACACATGAACACACAGCTTTTTCGACCTGCTTGTTTCCTGTCTTGTAGGTTTGTTTTGACAACAAAACATCTTTTTTTAGAAGCAGCAACAGTAAAAATGTGTCCACAAACTCTGCAGAGAAATGATATTTTCACAAGATGCAAAAATATATATATAAAGTTGTTTTAAAAAAAGCTGTTAATTATAGATTAGTTTAATCAATAACAACAGCATTGAACAACAAGATGATGGACTAATGCAGGTCGAGGTCATTTGGAGGCTGAAAAATAAAAACAAGCTGACAGTGAATGTAGTAAACAGGGGTTTTGGTAAACAGAGATCTGATAACACTATCAGGCTTATATTAGCTCAACCCTCTTAGATACTCCACCAATCAATTGCATTGATCTAATTTTCCCTCCACCTTTAGTGCTGTGACCCCACAGACCTGCACTGACTTCAGATATTCTATTGTTGTGTTTATGATCGGGGTTTGAAAAGCACAACAATCGGACACGTCTGAACATGTCTGCTGCCCTCTGTATATCTCTGCTCAATATAGGGCCACCTCCCACTCAATATAACGTGAAAAAGTCAGGTCGAAGGAAGCTGTGACCTCAGAAACTGACCTCTAGTTTCCATGAACGACATGCTAGTTCTTTGAAATTCTCAACTAATTCTAGTGGAGGTTGCCGTAGATGATCAGCCAGTCAGACACTTAATCTATGATTATTTTCACAATTAATTAATCATTCTGTGTTCATTATGTGATGCATTGATGAGCATTGAATTGTGAGACATCTTAACTGCAAAGAACCACTTATCCACAGTACAGTGGCCATTTTTGGACTTTTTAGCCTAATCTCTACACGCAATTGGTGAAATAATCAGGTGTCTGTTTTAGAAATTTGGCCAGACAAACCCAAACATAAAGTAAAATGCCAACAACATGAAAATATTTGACTGCAGTGTTTTTGACTCATTAGCTTTTGAAGATTTTGTGTTTTGTATATATTTTATTTCTCATATTATAGTGCCATTGTAACCACGATGATGGTAAGTCATACTGAGTAAATGAAAAACAATATATTTTGGTATTCTTCTTGTATTAATTCTGACACAAGCAGGTCTGCATGCTCTCATGATCAAGAACATATTTCTCTTCAGGGACTATCATTTTTATCTTAATCTGCATAATCTTAATTATTTGCAGAGTTTAATGGTTGTTTCATTCCATTTAGATTAACAAAACAAAAATGAAGCCAGACTACTGAGATGAGGTTTTGTCATCTATTGTCACAGTTTCAATTTTAAAGTTACGTCATCTACAGCATCCCACACCTTTCTTTTCTTCTCTACCCTTGAATCCTTGAAAAGACTCACTCTTTTTAAGTTTGGCAGGCAGGTGACACATGAAAACCTGTGGCAAACTGTGACTCCGCTAGAGTTGCTTGCATCATTCACAGTGGAAAATAATGGACTTTGGTGCAGGCCTCCAGGTCATCTTCTGTCTGAGGCAAACCATGATAGCTCCTCTCCTTTAAAGGACACTGTGTATTTAGGCCTGTTGTCTTCTGCATGACTGCCTCTCAAAAAAGATTTAAATGACAGAGGGGGGCTTCTGTGGAGACACACACCCAGAGCTACCGTGTACCTGAGGTGACCATATTAAGTATATCCCCCTCCCCTTGTTGACATCATACAGAATCAAGATCAAAAACACTGTTTGCAAAAGACAAATTGGAGACTAAGCTTTTAGATAACTTTTAGAAGTAATTTCTACTGTCTGAAATATATGATCTTTGACCAAAGCTCGTCACTTGTCCACATTGCCAGCAATTCATATCCAACCATGAGAGGTGATCTGTGGGATATTTTTGCAAAATGTCAGCACTACCTTGGATCTGCTCCAAAAATGATCTTTTTATCACGTGAAACTTTTACCTGTGTGTCTGTAGGATTCACCTTCCGAGGACTATGAATGTTTGTGTACAGTTATTTGAGATATTCTTGTAAATGGATATCTGTTTTGTTTTATTGTTTTTGTATGTGGGGATAAGTATGCAATGTACAGCAGCATATACCAAGGAATTTATAGCCCAAGCTAATGCAACACCCATGCATGTTTGTTTCCACACAATACACAAAGCTGAATGACTCATGCACAAGATTTTGTGAGAGAAACATGGTAGTTACATAATTACAAACACAGAACCAAATAAATGTAGACAGACAGAACAGTAACAGATGCACCAGGCTGTTTGGCAGTCACTGATTCTGACACGCTGGCACTATGACTAAAGTCCTCAACATTTCTATGGCCACAATGTTTGTCTTCAGTTTTTTCAGTGCTGCTTTTTTTTTTAACACAGTTTGAGTCTTTGGGAGATGGCTGATTTCCTGAAGGAGCATGGAGTGATCAATGCCATTAATCTGGATGGGGGCGGATCTGCCACCTATGTTAAAAATGGCGTTTTGGCCAGCTATCCATCTGATCATTGGTGAGTGAGTTGTTCCTTCACACTTGTGAAACTTTACACTTTTTTTTATTCTCCAACATTTAATGTTAAAGTGTGCATATAGGTGTACAAGATAATTAATAAATGATTGATTTTTTTTAATAGACTTTTTTCTGTCCTTCCATGCTCTCAACACATCTCCTTCCCTCCCAGTATTTCAGATAACATGTGGCGCTGTGAGCGAAAGGTCTCCACCATCTTGTGTATCCATAAAAGACTATGCCAGCCAGCAAACTGCAGCGAGCACGGTGACTGTGTGGACGGACACTGTCTGTGTCATGATGGTTGGCAGGGTGCTGCTTGTGACTCTTTGGTGTGTCAGCCATCAGCTTGCCGACCCCATGGCATCTGTACCGCCAGTAAGTATGAAAGTGCTGGTAAAGATAAAGCAAAATAGCAGGATTACTTATAGTACAGTAATTCTAAACCTTTAGCCCTGTAAACATGTCATCAGTGATGTACTGAATTTGACATCAGTGCACTCTAAGTTCCTCTAAAATTTGAGCCAAAATCCTAGCTGAGCACTGAGGTCTTTGATATCATAGATCCAGGCTTAAAATCAGAGGTGATATAGCCTTTTCAATGGTGGCTTCTAATCTTTGCAACAACAATCCTTTTCACATAAGTGCTGCCCAGTCTCTTAATCATTTAAAAACACTGTTAAAAACCTACTTTTTTTAGCTTGCTTTTGAGTGTAGTTGAGGAGCCAAAAGTACTCTGGCTTTTATTATGCAAAATACTTAATTTCTTTGTTTTATTTGGTTTTGTGTGTGTGTGTGTGTGTGTGTGTGTGTGTGTGTGTGTGTGTGTGTGTGTGTGTGTGTGTGTGTGTGTAAAATTGTTAATTTTGTGACTGTTATATATAGGGTATATTTTGCACAACTTGTACAGCACTTTGGTCAACTGAGGTTGCTTAAAATGTGCTATAAAAATACATTGAACTTGAATTGACTTAACGTAGGAGCATAGATTGTCTATAAAAGATGTAGCCGCTATGATGTAAGTGTTGTTCACATTTTGATACCTCAGTCTTACCGTTTTGGCTGCTGCTATTTGAGTATTTTGGGCCCAGAAGTTACCACATATGGACAAGAGGGTTGAGTGCTAAGTTACCAGCAAACGCTAGTAAGCTTGGCTGGCAAGCTGCCACAATAAACAGTACTTTTGAAATCCGCAGACATGGATATCAGCTAAGTAGTGCAAAGTAACAGACTAATAAAATGTAGAATTTCAAAACTGAAGTCCAAACTTCACAAACATAATTAAGAAGTCCGATGACTCCAGTTAACAGATGTGAGGTCTAGCTGACAATGATTGTCAGCTCAATGTGCAAAGACATGCTCCAAACTCCAGAATTGGATACAAACTGCAGTTTGACTTGAGTGGTGGAAGCGTAGAGCAGCACAGTATTTACAGTTATATTTCAAGCCTGCCTAGAGGGGGTATTATGAGTGAAAGATCAAACTTCTTGTTTTCCCCACTGATTGTTGACTCATTGTTTGTCCTCTGTGATTCATGTCTTTCTGTCTGTTCCATCTGTGTTGCAGATGGCTGTGTCTGTGATGCTGGTTGGAGAGGAAAGAACTGCAGCCAAGGTAATCAAAAGCCTCATCTAGTCACACGTACGCAAGAATGCAAACACATGTTTTTGTTCTTCTATACACATACGCAACCTCATTAACTTTCACCAACACCAGCCTCTAATGGTGAGTTATGGTTTGATTAAATGTGGCATTTTTCCCACCCGTGTGGGTCTGTTGGTAATCCCACTGCACCTTTACATGTTGTTGTTTTTTTTTTCATTTGTGTTATATTTTGTTTAAATGTGTATGTATGTTCACACATTGTTTGATTGCTGTCCTGTGACACAAAAATAAAACACGCTCCTTACATGAAATGTCTCTGTTGTTTTGTTTTGTTTTGTTTTTTTGTTTGCAGAGTGCCTCGCTGGTTTCTATGGTGACGGCTGCAATCAGACCTGCTCCTGTGTTAATGGCGGTTCCTGTGACCCCGTCCACGGACGCTGCACCTGCCCTCCAGGTTTCCATGGCAACTACTGTGAGCAAGGTAGAGCTATGCATGTTAAATGTCACTTCACCCGGACCTGTTGAAAGTCACTCAGAATTTTAGTGGAAATAAAAGGATTTTCTTTACTATTGTGTTGAACTATTGCATGTATGTTCTGTCACATGTGTTGAACTGCAACTTGATTTCCATCCATTTTTATTTATGCTGTAGAAGGAAATCATTAACTAGACCTTTGCTGTGTTGGCTAGAATTCACACCACTTAATACAAGTTAGTATTATGTGTCACATGTGGATCACACTATGGTCTTCGAGGCATGGTCGGGTACGAATGGGCCAAAAGTGTGCCAAGAAAATATTCCTCACACCATTACACCACCACCAGAAATAAGATAAGATAAGATAGAACTTTATTAATCCCCCGGGTGGGTTCCTCTGGGAAATTCGATTTCCAAAAAAAGCACAGCAACGACCGAAGTTACAGTTACAGTATTGTTATATATATATAAATATATACACACACACACACACACACACACACAAATAGAGATCATTGATATAATGCTATAAAGATGGATTCATGCTTTCAATTGTAACCTTACCATCCAAATGTAACAGCAAAAACTAAAAATAATCAGACCAGGCAGCATTTGTCCAATTTTGGTGAGAAGGTGTAAATTGTAGGCACAGTTTCCTCTCCTTGGGAGGAGTAATGGCACCCAATGTGGTCTTCAGCTGCCGTAGCACGTCTGCTTTAGAGTTCGACTTCTTGAACATTCAAACATGCTCTGCTGAAAACCTTGCTTGCAAAAAGTGGTGATTGGGGTTACTCTTTCCTTTGTGTCAGCTCAAAGCACTCTGGCATGTAGGCATTTTCAAAAAGAGAACCACTGCTAACTAGAGCAGGGCGATATGACCAAAAATATTTATCACGATATACATTTGAAAATTTGCGATAACGATATAACTGACAATATAATTGACACTAGACAAAATACTTTACAACTCCTCAACTTTATTAGTGCAAAAAAAAAAAATCAATGTATTTTCACTTAAACAAGCAGCTGTTTTTATGTGCATTATAGTTATATAAAAATATAACAGTGCAAATGCAAATTCCTTGCTGACAGTTTAACCAAAAGGCATTTCCAGTGGAAGTTGGCCGACATATCCTCAGCATAACCACATATAATATCCACAAAACTTTAAAAAGAGGTTATACACACACAATACGGTAATATTATGTTGAAGCACAGTACGTATCACTCCGCGAGGCGCCTGCCTACGATAGCCGTAATGCTCCGACAATCCATCAAGCGGTGCGGGTTCGTAGCTTAGCAAAGTCGTACTAAAACATTTGACAGCTTTTCGAGTGCCGTGTACCACATAAAATCATTTCGAGGTCAGTAAACACAACCAGAATTCATACATAAGGCCCACTGGATTATACAGGGGCACTGTCGATTTTCAGAAAAATCTAAGGATTGATTTTAAGTGTGCCGTATTTTCAAAAGAACACAGTAATAACGACGGCCCGCTAGCATGCGCTACCAAAAATAGTGCTTTGTTTAGCTTTCTGACAGACGAAAGCTAAACCAGTTCCACACCACTGAAGTTGCAACATTTTTACAAACCAATTCTGGTTCATCCGTTTCATTCAATGATCCGCTTTCGTCCTTCTCATTCTCTGTCGCCGCCATGTGCGTATGAAAACAAAGGCGCTGCGCATGCGCGTTTTACCCATATTCTATCGCGATATTTCATTTTCTTATCGTTGCTCAACATTATACCGGTATTACTGTGAACAGTATGGTATGGCCCAGCCCTACTGCTAACTGGATATTTTCTCATATTCAGAACATTCTCTGTAAAGCAGACAACCATATGTTTGTGTGGGAAAATCCCAGCAGATCTGCTCTTTCTGAAATATGCAAATCCACCAGTGTGGCACCAAACTGCCTTTTTCCCTACTCTTATACTCAGTTTTATACTCAACTTCAGCAGCTTGTTGTGACCATGTCTACATGTCTAAATGGACTGAGAGGCTGCCATGTGATTGGCTGACTATATATCTGTATTAATGAGCAGTTGAACAGGTGTATCACAAAAAAAGTCTGAGTGAAGTCACTCAATAACCTTTTTGTTTTCATTCATGCTTTTATTTTGGCTGTAAAAATGAAACGGGTATTAAAACTTTTCAGAACTTATTTAAAAGATCCGACGATTAAACTTGATTGAAAAGAAACAGAGAAAAATCAACTTGACGACCATTTCAGTTACAAAATGAACCATTTAGTTTGCTAAATTTGTTTGTTCTTTATTTAAATATTAAAAAATGTAAATTCACTTCATTTTTTTCTTTCTTTCAGTGTGTCCTCTGGGTTTCTACGGTCTGTCCTGCGCTCATGAGTGTCAATGTGAGGACCGGTGTCCATGTGACCCACAAACAGGAAGCTGCCACACCACACTGCCAGGAAGCACCAACTACACCTTACACACAGGTACAGACCAAGGTTATTAAAGTTAACCAAGCTAAATTATTTTTTTTGTTTTAAAGCTACGTAAAGCATAAAGTAAACTTAAAAGAACTGCTTGAAATAAAAAGAATGCAAACAAAGTTGTTACAAAACTGCAATAACTCCTGTGCAGACCCATATATAGGCACACATACTGCTTGTACACACAGGGTCATATGGTGGTTGATGGTAGCGGTAAAGAGATGAACGAAACCCTGTCCTTAAGCTCTCATGCAGCTGGTGATTAGCTGCAGGGGTTTTCACGTGAATGAACAGTTTGAATTTTTTTTTCTATGCACAACGCCTCTGTTCCTTCCTTTTCCCTCATCCCTAGCCTGTTTGTTACACCATATTTAATTATTAATTATGCCGCTAGTTGTGAAAGCAGGAACATTTATGGTTGTTTTTGTAGAGAATTTGAAGTGAAACAAGATGCAAATAACTCAGTTTCATCTCCTTTGTCTGCTTTCTTCTGGGCAAAATTCACAGCCAGCATACAAGAGAGGAGAAAGATTAAAGACTAAAGTATTATTTAATAGATGCCTTCTGACCAAATCACAGCAAGTAGCAACCTTTTAAAGCATGTAGTTCCACAGGGTTGGAGACCAAATCTTTTGTCTAACATACTTTGCTGTTTCACTGTATCACATTTCAAAATGTGGTCATCTGTACTGTGTTTCAGTGCAACTGAAGTCCCACTGTGGTGTTTCTCATTTACATTTTTCTTCTTTCTTTTTTTTTTCCTGTTAAACAGCTGAGCAGATATTAAATACTGATTTGCCTGCTGCCCATAAGCACTACACATGTACACATTAACCAGCTCTCAGTCCTTACAGCTGGTTAATGTGGCTACTTTGTTTCAAATATATTTCCATTTGTTGATTCAGTCATTCTCTATCCCATCTCCTTAAAGTAGGGTGAGATACTCATACAGTAAACATAGTGTAAGAAAGTGAGAGAATATGTGTGAGGAAAAACAGTCAGTGTGAGAGGAGACACTAAAGTAATGTGACACTATGTAAATCAGCTTCAGTATGTGTGTGCATGAGGAGAAAAGGCAGAGATGGTGTTTATCATTGTGTTGAAGTGTGCATATTCTCACATGAGCAAATGATTCAATATTTGCAGAGAGCAGATGTAGAAGCAGCTCTGTCTTTGTTGCCGTCTGTCTAAACAGAGGAGCACCGTGTCAGCTCATCTGGGAGGACTGGAAATGTTACTCACCTGCATGTCAGCTCTCAAAACTTTCCACTGTAACTCATACGGTTATGTCTTTCTGCTCTACAATCTGTTTTCAGAATATTAGGTACATGTAGCCAAAACTAGTACAGTGAATATCCTCATAAAAGTTAGTAATGTTCAATCATTGTTTATTTAAAAGAGGCTTTAATTCCACTCTGCACTCTACTTGTATTACATTATACCCTTTAATGTTATCATTATCATTGATGTTGTTTTTTTGTGGGGGTTTTTTCAGCTTTCTTTTTTTTCCTTAAATCCTATCCTCTCAAGCATCGTTTTGAAAAATATTTCCACCCACACGAACATATTAAAACACAGTGTCAAGGGCTGTGAAGAGCATACCATAGCAGCAACAGATGGTAATATGACCATAACTGTATAGAAATCCTGGCCAATCAGACGCCTGGGGCAGGAAGTTATTATATAAACAAAAGACAGTGCATAGAGGAAGAAGCGAGTCTTGCATTTGCATTTGTGCGCATGTGTCCACATGCTTAGAAAAATGCAGATAATATCGTTAACAGAAAAAGTATTTTGTCTATGTCCGCCATTGCACAAAAGCAAAGAAGAAAAAAAAAAGCATAAAAATGTGATAAAGCCACACACCTTTGATGTTACATGATGTCATTGCAGAACAAGTTTCTGAAAATCTTGACCCTATAACGAGTTTTCAGGAACGCCATTTTTTTGTGACCTAAAGCACTGTTTATGTGGCCTGACAGGTCTGATATTTTACTTACATCATGATATAAATAGACTTGTTCTTTTACTGCTTCTGTTATGTTTCTAATAGGAACAACAAAAACAGAAAAAATTATCTCTGATCCGCTGTATCAGTTCAAACCACAAACCTATAATTCATAACTTCCAAATGGCCTTCCTACCTTCCTAACTGCATGCTCTAACTATCCATCGCTCCAGTGTTTTCAGTCTCGTGACAACACATCTAAAGCTGTGTGCTACATGGGAGAAAGTGAAGCTTTAAATACTGTCTTCACCTGATTCTGTTAACATTTTCCAAAGTTGACTTATGATATCAGTTTTAAAGACGTAGTAAATTAATATTCAAATACATCTCTCTAAGCAGTTTAACTCATTGGTCCATGCAATATTTTATCCAACAATAACTTATGAGATGAGGTCTGTAGCAGGCATCGTGTGCACAAAGCCAACACAGAAACATAAACCTCTCCCCAGAGGTGCACAGGCGTGGGAGACTTTATCCAGAAATCCTTTTTCTAAGAGTAACAAGTTGGCAAAATTTGGTGTGACTTGCATATAATTATCTTTGATTTCTTGCCTTTGTTTCTGATTACTGATTTACATGTCCAACTATATCAGTGATAGTCTGAATATCTATAACTGCGCTGGAAACCTGAGCTGCTAATAACTACTCCAGTTTCCCTTTAATGGTGACAGCCTGTAGGTTAAATTTCACACAGAGCTGATATAAAAGTAGGCCATGCTGCTCTATTTGGAAAAACACCAATTTGAAATCCAAGGTTTGGCTGTGGAGGAGATTTCAATTACAGGAGGAGCAGCCAGTGTAATTGTGGCTGAAGTCTGGGTTAGAAAATTACCTTTTCATGCAGGATGGGATTAAAAACACTGACCAGCCACAGTCAGTGTCCTCTGTCATTTATCTCTTGTTCTTTTTCCTCCCCTCACCATAGCTGGACACTGCCTGGCTAGAAAGATGTTTATATCTTGGAGGCGAGAAGAAGACGCTTACAGAGAGCGGCCTTATTTTACGGAGTAAGTGTCAAAGATCACACAACATTAACCCACCCTCCCCTGTCACCTTTTACCCCGCTGTGCATCTTGAGGTCTTTTCAATAAATTGTCTCCCTTTTAAAAAATAAAGTGGTTACATTTTGCCATTTTGATACCATTTTTAGCATTGATTTCAGCTCTCGACGTAGTATTAATGTGTTAAATAAGAAGGAATATGAATGGGGATGAGGTTCAAGAATTCTTATTCACTCACACTGGCCACACACAGAACCAAGAGCTTTTAAAAAGGTGTTTGTGAAATCTAAGGCTTTGGCCATGTTCCATGTATATATGGTATTGCTATGTATACAGAAAATTACAGATCCTGTTAATAAGTGATCCAGTTTTTCCCTCTGCTCTAAATACTGTAGTTCAGTTTAATAATAATAATAGAAAACATCTGAAGCAGCCCAGACCCGCATTTGGCTTTTTCTCTCACACTCTCTCTTTTACATGTAAACAAGGCATGTAAAAGACACTCTGGGGGTGGGATGCATTCACTGGCCTCATTACCTTTCACATGGAAGTGAGGGATTGTTAGTTGTTGCTATGGTTTCTAATGTTTGGTCACTTATGTAGGAAAGGACACGTTTAAAAAGAACTAATCCCTTTAAACAGTGTTTGTTAAAAAATTGGACACGTTCCAATTTGTTATATTCAGCAGTAGTCAAAGTGCATGTCAGCGTTGAAATCCCCTTCCCCCAGGGCCTTCCAGATGGGGCTGTCTTTGTCATTCATTTCTTGTAACTTTCCAAAACCAACTCCCACTTCAGGCAGGGATTGATCAGCTGCGACAAAGTAGGTGGAGCTCTGTTATCTTTAACTGTTTCTGTCCCTTATCATCCAAACAAGCATGTGAAGGAGATACTGACTCAAGACCACGGTGACAATAATACCACCAACTTTTCAGTCTGGCAGTTAAACTGATTAGATATATGCTAATCTCATGCACAGTCTTGTTGAATATTAAACAGTTTTTAACCTGCCTCTAACAAATAGTGTAAAAATCTGCCAATTCAAACATGCAGAGCTCCACATTATGATGACCTCTTTGTGAATAAGAAGGCAGCTGAAAGTAGCTTTTTAAAGCAAGTGAGCAGTCGTCCTGCACGCAGCTTCCTCCAGGCAACTGCCTCAGTACTGACAGAAAGTTTCTAGTGGTCAGAAGAAACCCTTAGCAGACTATCTCATGTTGTGTGCCACATGTGAGAAATGTCTCAGACTTCTTCTCACGGCTTGTTGCTTTTTCCTCTCACTACTTACTATCAGACAAGGAAAAGTATTTGTATTTGCTTCAGGAAATGATAAACTATATTCTACATATTCTACATAAACAGAAGGCTAACAAATTGGTTAAGGAATGAGATACATTGGAAAAAATACATTTTAACCCTAAAGCAGCTATTTTAGCAACTGATTTGGTTTTTAACCAACACTCAGGAACACGTAATTTTTTAATGGCTCTTTTTCTCTTTAGCATACCCATAACATTGTCTTTATATATAGTAAATGTTTTAAAATAGTCTAAATATAGTTTTCCCAACTGATGTCCATCAGCTACATTGTTTCCATTGTCACTTTGGGCATTAAATCTCCCTGCAGCAGTAAATCTTGCTACTGTAGGACTGTTAGCGGTTCACTATAAAATACTATAAAAGTGGAACCTAAAAATCAAAACATTTGATGTTTAAAAAAAAAAAACATGCACATATTTCCCACAACTTTATATTATCCCTGCCACACAAGTGGGTCAGTTCCTGTATGAAAAGCTGTTTAAAGTTGTAGGAGAAGGAGAAACTGCACAAGTGCAAATACAGCTGTGGACATTATTGAACTCAGTCACTCAGTAAAATCCAGTTTTAAAATGAAGGCACACTGTAAGGAAACCTTGCTTGCTCTCATTACAGTAAGGCAGTGAGTGCTTTGTACTGATACATGTGGCTTCTGGATTCATCATTGAAATGATCTAACCTCCTCCACTCCTCAGGCGAACGTGGATGATCATCACCTTCACCCTGGCTACTGTCCTCTCAGCCAGCCTGCTGGTTCACCTCGTACAGGCGTGCCGTGCCGTTTCAGTGGCATCTCACTTTCCCGAGCGCAAGGATTATTCGTACGTCCCTCTGAACAACATCAACAGAGTCACTTCATGTGCCAGAGGCAACACTGAGAGAGCTGAGAAAGAGGATCTTCAATTGGAGGACTCAGACTCTCAGGATGAAATTTGGTCTTCCTCACACTCAGGGTAGTCGTAGCTGTCAAGAGGACCAAGGATAGTGAGTGAAGACAGTTATTGCACAAAAAGATAACGCTGAACTCTGTAATCCTCTGCTTTATTTGCTCTTCTTATCAATGACAGGTTTCTATCAACACTCCTGATAAAATGAAACTGAAACTAAAGGACAAAGCACAACAGCTTTATTGCAGTCTTTAACCCACATATGCCTAAGGTTTTTGTTTACAGCTATGAAACTTGATCAGCAATCTGAATGTCTCCATTCCAGCTAAACTCCAGCAAAACCACAACTTTTCAAGTTGTGAAGAACTTTAAACTCTTGTCAGGAATCTGTATTACAAGATCGCATTAATGGGTTATCTCACTTAAATGTCAGTTAACTATCTTTCCACTTAGTATAAAACAGATGGATATTTTTTCATAGCTGACTTTTTAGAATCAGATTTAATTTGAACGCATCAGCAATATTTTTAAGATCAGTGAAGCTATGTAACCAAAGAACTCCCAGACTGTTGAGCTTACTTTATGATACTGATTCCTGATAGGACAAACTTTTCCGCGTGTTGCAATGTAATCGGATGAAGAAGACGAAGATGAAAACGTTTGATGTTCCAAGCAAAATGTGGTTCAATCAGACAATTTTTAAACAAAATGATAGAGTTTACTCAATTTGCACTGAGCTCCATGTCTGAATTTCAGATATCTATGAGATAAATGTGAATAATCCCTTTGAATTTCTGTGTAGAAAGGTGCCAATTTTATATTAAATGTTATTAAGAAAATTATTACTATGTCATTTATAAGCATAATCGGACACCCAGAGCGTATTTATGAGATGATTTATTTTTGTTTTAAGCGAAATAAAGTAAATATCACGATTCAGTTTTGGTTGTTCAAAGTAGAAATCATTTACTTTTCTTTCTATGTTCACTTTCAACCTAACACAGTTGTCGGGGCCATTATACTCGCTGCTCTTGCACTCAAACAGCACCATCATGCAAAAGCAACGTCATCTGGTCGGTGTGTTAGCATTTAGCATAGTAGTGTACTAATATTGTATGCTAACTGAAACACCACCATAAAGACTGACTGCTACAGTTGTCAGGAAAAATAAATGACTAAAAGAGTTGACCTTTTAGAAAATCTAGCTGCAAACACAGTGAGATGTGTTTTAAAGCTTCTGAGTAAGCTAGCAAAAAGATCTTGAGTTTTAAGTTGTGCTGGTACTATAGCAACTGGTCTTTAGATTCTTCATTACCAGGCTTTAACAATAGTGTTTTGGCCACTGACTTGTTGGTTTTGTGGTGTCTGAACCAATCATATTTAGACAAGACGTTATGGTACTAAGTTGTAAGCAAGCAGGCTTGGTTAGCAAACTGTATCTGTAAACTGTAATACATTGAAACAGAAATCCACTAATTACTGCTAATTAACAAACTTTACTAAACTAAAGCTTTTCTCACGAAATCTGAAGTGCAAACTTTTTGGACAGACTCTATCTCACAAGAGACCATATTATCCAATAGCATGCATGAATTTATACAAAAGTACCAACAGTACTCAGTTCAGATCCAGTTCGATGATTTGATCCGGAGCTAAAAATGCTTTTAATGTTGTAAAATTGGGAATTTTAACATGAAAGTCTTCTGGAGCCAGCCTCAAGTGGCCATCAGAGGGAACTGCAGTTTTCAGTTCAGCACTGGAGTTTGCAGGTTCACTGGTATACGATAACATTAGCCAAAAAGTAAAATCATCTTGTCAGCATGCTAACACGGTTGTGTTAGTGTCCTGTGTTATATAAAGATTGTGTTTGCATGGAATTAGCTCTAGAAGGGACTTCAGTTGGCTGTTTGGGAAAAGTAAGTCTGACCACCAAAGTCAGTGGGATTCTGGGGATACTGAGAGGAATCCACCCAACATTCATCAAGACGGTGAACCAACAGGAAAACAGGCTTAGCTTCTGTTGCTAGATGTTTTGTGAAACTTATATTTCCTGTTTTCTTCATTCTGCACTAACTGTCAAACGGCACAAAGAGAAGCACTGGGTCATTTTGATGTTTTAATTAACTGTTTATGGAGGGGCTCAGAGTAGAGCAGCTGCTGCTCCACATCGAAAGGAGCCAGCTGAGGTGGTTCGGGCATCTGACAAGGATGCCCCCTGGGCGCCTCCTGGGTGAGGTGTTCCAGGCATGTCCCACCGGGAGGAGGCCCCGGGGCAGACCCAGGACACGCTGGAGTGATTATATCTCTCGGCTGGCCTGGGAACGCCTTGGTATTCCCCCGGACAAGCTGGAGGAGGTGGCTGGGGAGAGGGAGGTCTGGGCCTCTTTGCTTAGGCTGCTGCCCCCGCGACCCGACCCCGGACAATGTTTATGGAGTGATTTTATGCATTGTGCTAACTGTTAAAGCCAATTTTGTAGATGCACTTGTCTTTTTTTTTCTCTCACTGACTGGCCTTATCCTGTCTTTGTTTATTTGTTGTTCTAAATCAGCATTGTGTTTCCATGAGGAAACTCTAGTGCTGCTACACGGTGACAAAGTTTTAACTGTGCAGAGATAAACAGGCTGAACCTTCACCTGCAGGTGACTGGGGCATACAGTTGTCCTCGGACCTTAACCATGAGCTGCTCACTTGTCACTTTATATAACTTTGTCCTACTTTCACTTTTACTTTTTTTTTTTTTTTTTTTAGTGATGATTTTTTTTTAACTTGTTCTGAGTTTCCTATCTTCAGCTTTTTGTGTGTTGCTTGAATGCTTCACATTTTATTTTGCTTTATTTGAGAAAGACGAGGGAATTGAGGACATTTGTATTTCTGCTCTGTAAGGCAGTCTAAATGATGGACTTAAGATTTTCTATTAATAAAATACATTTTTCATTCTTTATGGGAGAATCTATTATTTCTCTTCCTTCCCTGGGAAAAATACTGTAGCTCCGGAAGGCATTTTCTTTCTCTATCAGTCCCTAATAAACAGTGACATGAGACTTTCATCATTTGCGGGCTCTGTATATATTTATGGATTCTTTATTTAATTGCCAAATTAATTATTTCCTAAAGCAGTTGCAAGAAACTTAAATGCAGTTCTAATTATGTTCAAAACTCACGGTCCAAAACCATCCACAAAGCAATCAAAGGGCAGACCAGTTACAGGAGAAGGCAAAGAAAATATATAACTGGAGCTCATTCAGGCACAGTCCCCTTAACTTATGCAATCAAATGTAAACTGATTACAGAAGGGGTAGAAGGATAAAGCAGGACTAACAGGAAAGTTAAAATATTTGAACGAGTTATGTAGTTCACCATGGCGCTGTGGGGATCTGAGTATTATACCATCAGCTGAAGAATTGGGTCACCACTCATATGACATCTGGACACATAAAACACGCTACAAATACTCCACCACTTACAAGTGCTGCATTAGCTGCTCTTACATGATCTAAACCACACAAATTGCAGTCATCATGCCATTAGACCGACACACTGTTGCATAATATACACTGAATAAAAGGTGATATTTGCATTAATAGAATGCTTTCTCCTTCAATGTTTACTGATTGCAACTGCAAAGTGAAGAACACCCTTTACACCTCAGTGTGGCAGTCACAAAGATGAAATCGAATCAACACACTATACCAAAAAACAGAGGACACTAAGTCCTTTATACACTGCCACTCTGGTATGTGGACACCAGTGTTGTCAGTTTATTTACTTGCTTGTTAACTTATGCAACCAGATCTTACAAATGTAGGCATCAAATTTACTGACAACTACACATGTAAAATTTAAAAAAATCATAGCTGTAAGTTAGTTTTGTAATAAATAAAAAATCCTTCAGACCTGTTTTTACTTTGAGTACATGCGAGTGCACCATTGCATAAGAGTATAGACACTGCGTATGCTTACACTAACCTATCAACTTGATATTTGCCACACTTCTGTACAGGAAGCATGGGAAATGTAAGAGTGTTTTCAGTCTCATTCATCTTCAGACAAAGAAAACCCATGCTTTTAAACTTAGTCATCCAAATAGTTTCTTCACTGTAAACCATCAGCTGTGGTTCTGTGAAACTAACAGGAAAAGCATTCAATAGAATATTAAGTCAGAAAAAAAATGTTTGTCTGCAGAAAGGAATGCTTTTGTTTGCTTTGCTGAGTTAGGTTAAAAGACAGCAGGCCGTAGCTTCACGTTTAACAGAGAGACACGAGAGGCATCATACTGCTTTTGAATAAATACAGATATTTTCCCTAATGTCAGCAGGAACCAAAGTAACATCAATGTTTACAGTACCAGGACAAATTTAGCTGAACCAAGCAAGTTTATTGTTTCTGTTCCATAAAAAGTTATGTGACTCTCTGTAGAGGACCTCCTGTCGGTCTCTCTGACAATGCTCTCCTGTTGATTTCTTTTATTTCAAGCATTCCTAGTTAACCTACAATGGATATTAACACTGAGCAGCTGCTGACAGTCACTCTGCAGAGCTCCACCATGTTTAGTAACCATGTTAGCACTGACCATCTGTGGAGAAACACAGTTTGTGACTCAGCAGCTTAGTTGGCTTCACTTCCGCGTTCATCTCAAAAAGTTCACGAGCAAACCAGCTGGAAAACAGGTTATATAGATAGAAGACTCTCGCTTGTTAAGAGTTTTGAAATTCCAGGCTTCCCAGCCAATCATAGCAGGAATACAGGGGTTTATACTGCACAAACTACCCTAACGTGGTATGTCACTGTTTTGCTACGAGAGGGTTCCACAGACATTTTTAATTGTAACATGTTTTTTTTTTTAAACGAAAACTGCTGTTTATTCATCAGTTATGTGGCATCATCACAAACTTCCTTCTGCATCATGATGAAAACAGTTGTGCAAAACAGCCACACATCCTTATACATGAAATAAGAAAAAAATGTTTTATAATATAATTTTTGTGATAATCACAACTCAAGGTGTCAACATGATTCTTATTGATGAAAAACACAAATTTACAGATTTCACTCATCTCAGAGAGCAGTCATTTGGCTTTTCTACCTTTAAAAGCTGCTGTAGAACAATGAGGATGCAAATCGGATGCAAATTCTTTGTTGCCCAACCTCGGCTGCACAGTAGGAGGGTCGTCCATTAGCTAACTTCTAATCTCAAGGTGGGTGGGTCACTCCTCGCTGTTC